ATAGGCTTTTTGGATACTCATTGTCTATTAACAACTTTATAATTCTCATAGAACATTAATGCCAACTGTAGAGCTGCCCTATAACTTAACCTCAGCAGAGGTCTATTAAGCTGGAAGTGAAAACACCTATGATCGAATTCATGGCCTTTAAATGTCACTGGTGTAGCATGTTACCAAAAACCCTGTTTTTATTCCTGGTTTTGCTTCAAGCCAGCTTTGAGTAAAATTTGAAGGTGAAAGTAGTCACAATGTTTGAGCTTGAGATGAATTCTTTCCATATCCTGGCGTTATAGTTGTCTAGTCTCTTATCAAAATTTAACTTAAGTTTGCTAGTGAGCATGAAATCACTGTCCATCTGCTTTAAGCTGAGAGCAGTTGTCTTTCTGTTTACAACCTGAAAGCTTTCTTTTGCTGATCCAAAGATACTGCGTCACTTAACAGTTCTTACGTTTCAGCTCTGTGTGCTAACATATTAAGTTTGTTGAGGTGGTTTGTGTTAGCTTGGGAGTAATTGGTATGACGCTGTTTTAACAGTGCCCATAAGATCTGATTAAAGATTTGTCTTTACTTTGTTGTCACCTTATTCAGGCTCTTCTGCTTCTTGCAACCTTATAGCTCATTGGTATAATTTAAATTGACAGATACTGTAAAGTCTGGGAGTTCCTGCAGAAGATGTTTCCGTTTTATGTTGGCATGGGGCCAAAATAACATTTCACTTGTACAGTCTGCAAGATAGCTGACTGATTTACGACTACACTGCAAGCAATGAAGCAGCTACACTTTAATGAGTGGGCAGATTTACTACAGTAAGCTAAATACATAAGCAGATATATCAAGACAAGCATGGAAATTGTACCAACAAGCATTGCATTACAAAGAATTAATGAATATGAGAAGCCCATTAACTTAACTCTTAAATTGAAGGATAGTCAATGCACCGTTAGACTGTCATAAGATCAGACTTTCTTCAGGTCCTACTACCAGGACTACTTTTTCTACTCCACCACTCCTGCTTCTGTCATAACAATTGCAACATAAATATTACAAATGATAACTTCCATGAGAACAAGATTGTTGATTGTTCCCTAAACCTTAGGCACAATATCACTGGTGGTCTGCTGCTGTTATTTCTCCGTTTATGTTTGTCTGACGGGCTGATTTTCCCTTGAGGGGACGATAAAGCCAAGCAGACACGGCTGTAAACTCACACTGAGATAGCATAAAACACCCATGCATCAACTTTCAATATCACGCCGCTGAGTCAGGATCATTTTTATTCACTTTGACACTTTGAATCTCAGTGGTTCCCCTAAAGTTAACCCCATAGGACCTTTTCATCATCCAAAGGGACTAACAAAGTGAAACAAACGGTGACCGTTTCAGCCGCATGGAAGATGTGTGAGCTGTTTGATGTTGCTTCCAGCTGCGTCACGGAGCTTTTTATCACGTCTAAAGCAGGTGTAATAAACTGGACCAGTGAGCGTGACCATCCCTGAAGCCTGAGAAAGAGTTCATCAACATGCACCCACTGCTGCACTCTGTTTAAGTTATGGCGTCTGGAGGGCTTTGCACACTGTAGGAATGGCAGAGGCTTGTATACTCAGAACTGCAGGACCGCTTCAAAGGAGTTACCATGGTGATGGAGTAGCTAAAATCAGCATGTCCTGATGAATGGAGTTAAAGTAGATCAACAAAAACCATTGGACACTTTAAGTAAGATTTAAGTAATATCTTAAAGGATCTCATAAAATGCGGGTCCAGAAATATTTGTGTGCATGAAGGTATTTGGGACAGTTTTGCTTTGCTTCTCCACATACAACATGTTTGCATGCCACATTTAAAGCAAATTCAGGCAAATAACTAATGTACTGTTTGTGGTTTTGGAGCACACTAGGTTTTGAATCAAGCATTTTTAAACGCTCAAACTAATCTTCCTCAACACCCTGTATACAATGTTTCAATTAGGTTTAAATGTTTTGAATGTGTGTTTTTTCACATCATCAAGTTTTTTGCATTACCTGGAAGTTAGAGTTGGTACAAAATAGCTGTAGAACTGTTTTTATCATATTCATCACTGTCACAGTAGCAGAGAGAAAAAAGCCAGGATTTATGCAGAACTATAACTGTTAATCCAATAAAAAACACATTTTCATTTAGATCAAATCATCCATCATGCACAAGCATTTCTTTTCCCTGTTGTCAGTTAATTTCCTCATTACATGAAACATAACTTTAATTGTGTTTCCCTCTAAAACTAACAATGTAAAGCTGCAACCCACGGCAACAGAGATTCACTGTGTGTTTAATAACGAGCTCTAACATTGTAGGAAATTGCAGACATAGATCCCATATTCTTTTACAAAATAAAATCGATCTACAATGCAGTCATATTGATGCTTCTCTGGAGGCTCAAAACAAGGATTGCTTTGCTTATAAAGTCTATTCGCCTGTCTCCATATCACAGTACATTTGGAAGGCATGTAGAGATCTGTCTAAGAATAATGAGTGTAAGAATAATGACAGTAAAGAAACTTTATATCACAATGAATGTTCAAGTTGAGTTTACAAAAGTTCAAAAAGCTCTTTGCAACATAATAAAACGACCAATAGTCTGAGATACTGCCGTTGTTCACTATTCCAACAGTGACCAAACTCAAACATTTACAAAGTAAACAAGTCCCATGCTGTTTGAAAAATATCAATGGAGGCACTGGTAATGGCGACCCATTCTTTACTGTGAGATCTCCCCTGGTGCACCCACTCTGCAGATCATCTGCCATCCGTAACTTCAGTGTTTTTTTTTGGTTCCTAGTCCCCTCCTGGGTGGACAAAACTGAATAATTCAGGGGCTGAATAATGGGGTGCACTAAACATCAGGGAACACACATTTTACGAGAAAGGTGAGGCGTGACAAAAGAAAACATTCATTAAAAGCTAAACAGAAGAGGGTTGATTGGCTCATGGCCCAGTCCAGAAACTCTCATCAGGGCACACCACCAAAGACAAAGTTGGATGGGAATACAACACATTAGGCTATCGCATAATCACCCAAAAAAAACAACAATAACAAGGGGATAAAAGCCTGCACAGAGAATCAACTCCAAGGTCTATGGTTGCAAATCTAATACAGACAGAAAGTGGGGGAAGTATCAAAGTAGGTTGTTATTTACAGAAATGTATGTACAAAGGCATTACAGTCAGAGTCGGCCTTGGCGTAAGTCTTCAGGGATAATGCTCTCTGTCCCAGTACATGAATAATGTAACACAAGTGGTTTTGAAATTACCGATGATTTATGTTTGGGATCTATGCTTATAGTCATCTCCTGGATGCAGTGGTCATTAAGGTCCTCTAGAGGGAGTTCTCTATACCATACATTATCTTCAGACCGCACCTGGGGACTTTTTTAGTTTAGAAAATTTCACTTTATCTTCTTTAAGGACACTTGAGTCTGTTTTATAGAATACATTTATCAGTTTTTTAAGTCAATGAAGGTTATTTAACACACAATTTATCTCATGACACTTAACATAAAGAGAAGGTCTACACTGTACTCTATAGACACCCAACATTATCCATCATGAAATAAGCACTCTGAAACAGAGGCAAGGAAAAACATCTTTTTAAAAGGCCAGACTCATTGGTGGACAGTTGTCTGCTGCGAGGACTCAGCAGAGCAAGCAGGAAAGAGTGTTATCTAAAATAAATAAAAGATGTCACATTTTGCTTACAGACATAATTCTTTCCCACCTGACAGTGTATGGTGTAAAAAACGAATCACTTAGTTTCAACAAAAATAATCAAGTGCTTAATCTACAATGGAATGAATCCTTAGTGGCAGCCCTTTAATACATTTGAAATCTTAATTTAATAGGACATTGATAAAGGACCAACCATGAAATGATACAAAAGCAGCTGCCCATTCACTGCTGCTGTTCTTGTTTCTGCCTGTAATTAAATTTCAATCACTTGATTAAAACATAACAATACATGCGATGGACTTTTGATTCTGTTATTGTAACACATTCAGACTCTTTTGTTGTTAAATAATTCAACTGTAGTGAATAGAGCCAGCAGTAGCTCTCTATTAAAAGATAACAGAACAAACACAATTTTTTAAGAGCTTAGAGGCATTCTTCGCTGGAGGCACTTGGACCGTGATTAAAACTTGTTGAGTCATTCATAACATCAACACAGACTTAAAGAATGTAATTCCCTCCAGTGCTTTACTAATCTCACTAATACTCAAAGTCCGACTTATACCCGTTGTGAAGACGTTTGTTTCTGTATGTTTGATCGATGTTTAAGGATGGATAAAAAAGCATTGTCAAAGCATACACAGTAGTCTTAATGGTTTGATAGTTTTCAAATTACAAAAATTAATTATTCTTATTGTAAATATGTCCAAACAAATAAAGAATACAGCCCTAAAAAGTTAATTAAGGCAAAGCTGGATGGGATTTTGTAAAATGCCCTTTAAATGCTTTATTAAAACCTGACCTGAAATGTGAAGGGATTACATATTCATATTAGGAGAGGGGCTGCTCAGTCGCTCCTTTTCTCTTGCCTGACTTGTTTATTTAGGAGGGAAATCATCCAAAATGGATGAGCTGAGATAAATTGAGATTTATTAACAAGGAGAGGAAATTGTGGACAGATTGTATTTTTTCCGGTCGCAGCCTTGAGATGTTTTCCTGAAGAAGTGTGTGTGTGTGTGTGTGTGTGTATGTGTGTGTGTGTAGGGGGCACAGTACAATCATTTTTATTAAACTGATATGCATGCAGAATGTCAGCTGCCATGCCATCTCCTTATTCAACAAACAACACTGCATGTAGGAATGTCAAATAACCTGGATGCTAAGAGGCATCATTTTACCCGCCAGCATCTATCTGGAGCATCAGCAATCTGCATGACGCATGAGGGGCTTTTCTATAGCCGGGCTGATTCAGCTGCAGAGGAATAACAGAATATATCATGATGAGAGCAATCAAGGTGTCTTACCTCGTCTTGGTAGATGAAGAAAAGCATGATGGACAGAATCTCCAGGAAGAAGATGAGCAGGAGGAGGATGAAGAACTGCGGAGACACAAAGGGAAGAGAGAGAGAGGACAACTGAGTTATTTTTCATTAAATTCATCAGCGAGAAGGAGACCACATGGAGGAATATAGGTATCTGTCTGTGAAGAGTGAATGTAGTTTAAATTGAAGGAGATGAAAAAGGCAGTCGACACCAGTGTGTGTGAGGGACTGAAAGGTAAAAAAGTAAGAAAGAAAATGCCATAAAGTGTCAAGGAGAAGGATTTGGGGAAGTGGGGGCGATCGAAGCGCTGTAGATCGTTCAGCCTCGATTCTAAGTGACAGGTCAAGAGAGTAGAGAGAGAGGAGGCTGTGGCACAATCACAGCCAGCAGGACAGACCAGGAGAAGTGATATACAGTTTTTTTTCTCCATCCACTTCTGAATTTGTAAAAGGCACCACATTTTATTCTCCTTTATTCGCCAGCCGACCCCTTCCTCTCTGTGGCGGGCGGGATGAGCTGCTTGATGGGCGATACATCTTCTCCATGTGAGCCCATGTGAGCGCTTAAAACAGTTACGAGCTCATCCATCAGCGGCTCTGAGAGGACATGACTCTGTGCCTCACACATGAAAGTGACTGTCTGATCCAGGGAATGGGGACATATTTTGAGAGGCATGATGAAACGACGTTCCAGAGGGTCACACATAGAGCTCGCTGAAATGGGTTCTAGATAATCAATTGAGGTCTGTAGACAAATACATCTACAAACATCTATGCTAAATTTATGCTCTGAGGAAAACAAAAATGGAAACGCAGCCTTAAGTAATGCTCTAGGAAAGGAAATGTCAGTGGGTTTGGCAATCATTGATAAAATATCTCAGGAACTTAGTAAATATTATTATAATAGTAAATATTATTATAAAGATAAATACATTGTCAAATCATAAACCCCATAAATAAGGGAATTTATTTCGGGGTCTAAATAGAAGGTATAATTTAACCATGTGGTCATTTGCTAAAACTACAACTTGAGCCCATACACTACTGGATCAAAAGAGATGTATGACTTACTGCCTTGTGTCCACAGGGCAAAATGGACAAAAGAATGACTTCCTCAAAGCTACCTTTATACCTCAGTTTAAGTTTCTTAGCATGTTTTCTAAATATAAGGATAGTCTATTCCTTGATCTTTAGGAAGATTTTTTTTGGTGGATAATTACAGATAATGCCATCTCCAACAGTATGTCATGTTTCTTTGTTCAGTTTGGACTCTGATTCCAAGAAAGAGTAAGATCAAATTTGTTTTAACAGATAGAAAGGGTTTCTATTTTCTGCCATTTCAAGTAGGCTAAGTAAGACAAAGCAGATGTACAGAAAACAAGCACTCTTAAGGCGCAAACCTGAGATGTTGCTCATGGTACAGCCTCAGTGCTACCAGCTTGTTTTTTTTAAATCTTTTTTTTTTTTTGTAGAGTGACGCACAGAAAACCTGGGACCCTCTCAGAGGATCAAACCATATTTCATCAAAAGATAGAAGTAGCTTTTCAAAGAAATCATGGCCACATGTCCTCTGTGTATTACAGGCAATGCTTGCGAGTAGATGCGAGTGTTGCAAGTTCACAAGACTGGCATGGAGCAGGGCTGTCAGTCGCCCCTGAGGTCTCTTTGGCTGCACCTGCATGAATGAATCACTGAGCATGGAGACACTGAAAGGTGAGATACAGACGAGCTAACAGCATTTAGCCCATGGTGACTCATGCGCTTTTGAAAAGAGGCTCTCAAATAACTGTCTGAAATCAATTCTCCATTGTTCTGTCAGGCTTCATTGTCTGTACTTTGTGCTGTGTGTTGTGAGGCCAACTTCCAAAGTAGCTCCAATTTGTGAGGTTTTTTTTCTTTTCTTTATTGGAAATATGCTCAACTGTGGATAAAATTGATGCTTTTCATGCCGTTGAAAGGAAGGAGATAATGTGAAAATACAATTCAGTCAAGTAAAGCAGTACATAGTTTACCTAACTCTGAATACTTGACATTTTCATTCAAGGATCTTTCCCAGACAGCAGCAATATATGACTTATTTATGGACAATAGTTCTGCTACTGAAAATACATTTGAAAAATTGAATGATGCAGGCAGAAACACACTGAGAGATTTGCACAAAATGGCAAGTGTCAAGTTAAAATTCTTGACATTTCTTCAGTTTCAGATATTTCCTGACCTGACATGGATATCTGAATTTTTCTCGATGAGTGAGATTGAAGGGTCAACTGAGCAAGTACACTGCTGAATTTAGATTATGTGTCTGGTCCAAAGTTCCAGAGGAGAGTTGTGTTGCCAAAGGCACTTGAACCTTGCTGCAGTATGTGATAAGTTTTTGCTAGTTTTTCCACTGCATTCATTCTTAGCCACTAGAATGTAGAGAAGGTTTTAAACAGGCAGACAGAATCAATTTGACAGATATTCACCGCCCTGACTCCTATCACTTTACTTCTTGTGAAAATGGGATAGCAAACAAGTCAGTGCTCATGTCTGTTTGTGTAATTATTTCAAATCATGTAATTAAGTTAATAAAACTATTGAGGGATCAGTCATGTAAATTTCTTTTGACACAACAGGAGTCAACAGCAGTAATAGTAAGGATGAGATAACACAATGTCTGTAAAAGGAGCATCCAAATGTAATATTTAACTCTGGACATCAACCACCAGAAACTCCATTCATTACTTCTACCCTTTCAATCTTGTGTCGAGGCCATTTTTGGGGCCATTCTAGTGTTGCTATTTTGGTCTTGTACAAAAAGCTGATGTTCCCATTATTCATCATGCTTACAAAACCACTGATTGGCTTGGCTTGTTTAATGGTCCTGTAAAACTGTCAATGGGCACAACATCTGAACGTTCTGAACTGCTGAAAACATCAACAAATTGATCCCAAATCAATGGTTTTGAAAAAGGCTTCCAGCTGAACATAAGGCTGTAAATGGAGCCATGTGTTTAGACTCTCCATTGATAAAACATTCTATAATCACTGTAACAATCTCAAAATATCTCAGAATTTAGCTGCAGCTTCTTTACCAGCTAATTGCAAATCTTTATCTGCATGTCATTGATTGGTATTACAAGGAGTCCTAATATTGATATTTTACTATCGATACAGTGCTTTTAAAACAAGAAGAATACATCAAGGAATTGAACCATAGAGTACCAGGGTCTAGGCCACAAAACTCGAGCCAGGGTTATGCTTGTCAGTTGTAGGCTACTGTTGAAATACAGCGTTTCAACATGGCATATTTTTAATAGACCCACTCCCTCTGTCAACAAAGGAGATCAATTGGAAGTTGCAAGACATATTATGTCACATTTCCAGGTGACTACATGTTGATAAAAACATAATTACTAATCCAATATTCAAATACTTCCAATATAACTCTCTAAATCTTACAAACCGACCCTTCACGCTTTCTATTTTCCCATCTCCTTGTTTATGATTCCCCTCCTGCTTCATGGCTTCTTGCGCTACTGCTTCTCGTGTTTTTTTTTCTCTGAGATCATGCAACCAAACCAAAGAGCAAAGGGACATTGTTAGGAATGGGAAACTGATTCTCACCATCATCTGGAAAACAAACAGACTCTTCCCCTGCGGCTCTCTGAATATTCCCCATTAATTTACTCTCAATAGGAAATGTAACTCCTTCTTTAGACCTTAGGCATTAGGCAGATTGAATGGGACTACTTACCGGCAGAAGACTGCTTTCTGCTTCTTTAATACACTAAAAGGAAGCAAATGAATTAACATGGGGAATTTGTATTTGCAGGATTGAATGGGTTACTTTTATCAAGCAGGTTGCATACATTAACAGTAAATTATGAAAATCAATTTGTGAACTGTTTAGAAAGGCTAATGATGTTAACAGCAACAGCAGAGTGCTAATTTAGCGCAGAAGAATCAATTTAGAAAACATTATTCATTGAAAAGAACAGATGTAACTTCCCCGTCATGTTAATATTAACAAAGAACATGGAAGCAGCTGGTGGTGAACAGGTCTCTTTCTCTGAGAAAGAAAAAAAGCTCTAATTGCGACATAAAATATAAAAAAGAGCATAATTTGTTTGAAATGACGTTGAGAAACGGTCGCCTAACAAGACTGTAATGACATGCTTGTTTGTGTGACAGCAGGCAGCAGAAATACATTTTCATCTGTTCTACAGCCTTAATAGAGGTACTTTGTATTTAAAGTATGGTTTGCATCAATGTACAGAGGTAAAGTATTGAATCTAAAATTGCAGTTGTGTTTTTTTTTCTGTGCTGGAATGTACTCGGTGTCCCACTTTGATAAATTATTATAAACAAAGACTCAGATCCCATTACACAAGGAGCAAAACAGGCTCGATATGTTTTTCCTGGATTGTCATTATTCAAGCTGGAATCTGTTATTCTGTTTGCAGCAGTGGCCTCCAGCAGCAGAACTACGGGGAAGATTTATAGGACATCAGAAAAAAAGGAAAAGAAAGAGGGCTCTAAACAGGTTTTCTATGGAGGAAAATGTTCTGCCGTTATTAAACTGTTGTCAAATGACGTTCTTATGATTTTCAATCTTATCGCTATTTACTGCCAGTGGTGGAAGAAGAGCCCAAATCATTTGCTTGAGTTAAAGTGCCGATCGAGCAAAAGTTCTTCATTACATGTAAAAGTCCTCATTCAAATTTTCTGGAAATAAAGTTAATGTACCTGTTCTGCAGGAAAAGTTGGTCTCTGTGATAGATTTGAAATTCTATATAACATTATTAGATTATTTACAGCAAAGACTTGATTCATAAGCAGTGTTAAAGAAGGCTTATGGAGCTAGTTTATACTTTATATGCAGTTAGTTCAGTGGTTCCCAACCTCCAAAGGGTCACCACATAAGTCTTAGGGGGTCATTGGGTTATGACTGAGGGAGAAAATAAGAAAACACTGACGTATGAATCGCTAATTTATATTCAGTTTGGACTTGTATTGTTTTACTTGTGAAATATTGGACAGTTGTACCCTTTCTGTTATAAAAGTTAAAGATTTAA